AACTAGGCCTGTGTGCCACAACTACTGAAGCCCGTGCACTCTAGAGCCCTCGAACCACAACTACTGAGCCCATGTGCCTAGAGCCCATGCTCCACAACAAGAGAAGCCACCACAATGAGAAGCCTGGGCACCGCAACGAAGAGTAACCCCAGCTCGCCACAACCAGAGAAAGCCTGCACGCAGCAACGAAGACCCAACGCAGCCAAAGATAAATAAATTAAATAAATTTATATTAAAAAAAGTAATAACAGAAGAGAATAACTTTTAGAATTTTAAGATATGGTAGTTAATTTTTTTAATCCATGAAATAATTGGAAGATAAACTTGAGAAAATCTCCCAAGAAGTAAAACAAAAAGAAATGAAAAATGTGAGAGACCAGATAAAGTTAGAAAAATCAATTAAGAATGCCCAACATCCACCTAGTAGGGGTTTTTAAAAGAAAGAAGAGGTAACTCCCTGGGTTGTCCAGTGGTTAGGACTCCACGCTTTCACTGCTGAGGGCCCGGGTTCAATCCCTGGTCAGGGAGCTAAGATCCTGCAAGCCATGCAGCCAAAAAAAAAAAAAAAAAAAGGATTAAGTGAGGCAGAAAATATTATCAAATAATTAGTATAGAAGAAATTTTCCATTGCTAAAGGACATGAATTTTTCAGACTGAAAGGACCCACCAAATGCCCATTGGTTGAAAGCAGATTCCTACCCAGTCATATCATATTGAAATATCAAAACCCTCAGGATGTAAAGAAGATTCTAAAAGCTTCCAAAGGAAAACTAAAGTCATGTACAAAGAATAAGGAGTTATAATGATATCCCTCAAAAGCAACATAGGAAGCTGAAAGAAAATGGTGAAATTATGAGAGAAAATTATTTTCAACCTGGAAATACAAACCTAGCCAAATTATTAATCAAATGTAATGGCCCAATAAATGTGTTCAGATATGCATGGGTCTCAAAAGATATTCCTATCTTGCACCCATTCTCAGGTAGCTACTTGAGGATGTGCTCCTTTAAAACAAGGAAATAAACCAAGAAAAAGAAAGTCACAGAATTCAATAAATGGGGTATCTGGCCCAATAGATACGCAAAGGCATATCCCAGGACAATAGCTCTATAGAGCAACAGCTAGTCCAGATTCATGAAGGAGGACAGAAGGTATATTAGTCAGTATTTTCTGTGTAATAAAATCTCAAAACTTCGGGAGCTTACAACAATATTTTTCATGTTCGTGGGTCTGCATACGGGCTAGAGTTCAATCAATACAACTGCACTCAGCTGGACTTGCCTCTAGACTGAGGTTTCAGTTCAGGTCTTCTCCCCATGTTTTCTCGTTCTCCTTGAACCAACAGCTATCCAATCCATGTCCTTTTCACGGTGGATTGCAGAGGCTCAAGAAGCAAGCCAGATTACACAAGCACATTGAAATCTCTTTTCCTCTCACGTCTGTTAAAATTCTTGAGCCAAAGCAGGTCACAGGGCCATGCTCAACATCAGTGGGACAGGAAAATATACTCCCCCTACTCTAGGGAGAGATACTGCAAAGTCACATGGGAAAAATCAGGGGTGTATAATTCTCTTAACTGGAAAGAAGTGAAGCACTGGGAACAATAATCCAATCTACCCCAGAAAGCTCCAGGAAAGATGTCTCCAGGAAAAAAAATATGGGACTGATAGAAGACTTGATATATCCGACTGTGTGGAAAAGACTATCTCCAAGAATTTTACAGTTCCTTAGGAGAATGACAGTGATAGAGGCTTAGGAAACTAAGCAAATGAAAAATAGGTAATTATTACTTCTATGAAAATTCATACAAGGAAATTAAGGACTTCCCTGGTGGCACAGTGGTTAACAATCCGCCTGGCAAGGCAGGGGACACGGGTGCGAGCCCTGGTCCGGGAAGATCCCACATGCCACAGAGCAACTAAGCCCGTGCGCCACAACTACTGAGCCTGCACTCTAGAGCCCATGAGCCACAACTACTGAGCTCACGCACCACAACTACTGAAGCCTGCTCGCCTAGAGCCCGTGTTCTGCAAAAGAGAAGCCACCACAATGAGAAGCCCGTGCACCGCAAAGAGGAATAGCCCCCACTCGATGCAACTAGAGAAAGCCCACGTGCAAAAACGAAGACCCGGGCTTCCCTGGTGGCGCAGTGGTGGAGAGTCCGCCTGCTGATGCAGGGGACGCGGGTTCGTGCCCCGGTCCGGGAAGATCCCACATGCCGCGGAGCGGCTGGGCCCGTAAGCCATGGCCGCTGAGCCTGCGCCTCCGGAGCCTGTGCTCTGCAGCGGGAGAGGCCACAGCAGTGAGAGGCCTGCGTACCACAAAAAAAAAAAAAAAAAAGAAAAAAAAAAAACGAAGACCCAACACAGCCAAAAAAAAAAAAACTGGAATCTGAAAATCTGAAATCAAGATCCATTACAATCATCGTCAGCCAGGCAATGGTTGTGACATAGATGCAACTGCCATGTGCAAACATGATTGCTATTTCTATTGGCATGACTAGATAACTGCCACTCCTGGAGATTTCAGTCCACAAACCATTTAAGTGTCATTTGAGGAATGAATATAAGTCCAGGTTTTGTCTAAGAAGTTTTCATTTATACTTTCTGGAAAAAACAAGGAAGTGCCAGTATCAAAACTCGCAGAATGAATATCAATGGTTTGGAAGAAAATTCTATTCATGATTGCAGATCAGATCCCTCTTTTTTAAAATGCTGTATCACCAATACTTTTGAAGTTTCAGAGTATGATATTGTGTTTAAATTAATTAAATGTGGGCATTGACATCTTTGAGGCAAAAAATGATTCAAAAAATGGGACTCTGAATATAAAGAAGTTTTAGAAATACTTAAACCAACTTATTTGCTTATATTTTTCTTTTTCTTTTTCTTTCTTTTGAATTTTTTTGCCGCTCAGCACTGCATGCGGGATCTTAGCTCTCCAACCAGGGATCGAACCTGTGCCCCTTGCAGTGGAAGTGCGGAGTCTTAACCACTGGACAGCCAGGGAAGTCCCTTATATTTTTCTTTTTATTGCTTGCAAGCACCAAAGTATATAATAAATTATACATCTAAAGTATAAAGGATCTATTTCAATAAATATAAAAATGCTAAGGGATAAGAAAGCATTGTGGTTATTTTGGTTATTTTTTTCTTTTTTAGCGGTATACAGAAGTATGGCTTACAATCAGTGATGTCTTAGATCAATGAAATGTGGAATATTGAGATAATAGAGATATGGCGGGGCCTTGGGTGGTGTGAGTTATAATTATTCATATTAGGATGCCAGGAGTCTAAAATCAGTCAATCAAGAAATCACAGGGTAAACATTATACTGGAAGAACACACTGCCTGAGATTAAATCCCAGCTCTGCCATTTGCTAACAATGTGACTTTACGTAATTACTTGATCCCTCTGTGACTCGATTTTTCTCATCTCTAAAATAGGAATAGAAATAGTGCCTACAATATAAGGTGATTGAGAGGATTAGACAATGCATGCAAAGCACTTAGGATAGAGCCTGACACATTGTAAATGTTACCTAAAATTATGATTTATCTAAATGTATGGAGATAAATACCAAAAGAAACAGCTAGAATGGTTTAGAGAGTAGGTTCTGGGTTCTGAGAATAAAAGTGGGGAGAGAAGAGGACTGATGTTTTTCATTATGTCTTGATTGTTTTTAAATTCTGTACTTTTAATTTGATTTAAAATTTTTCTTTTTTTATTTGTTTCTTTTTGATAAAATAATTATTTAAAATACACACGTAGGGACTTCCCTGGTGGTGCAGTGGTTAAGAATCTACCTGCCAGTGCAGGAGACACAGGTTCGAGTCCTGGTCCGGGAAGATCCCACATGCTGCAGAGCAACTAAGCCCGTGCACCACAACTACTGAGCCCGCGTGCCACAACTACTGAAGCCCGCGCGCCTAGAGCCCGTGCTCCACAACAAGGGAAGCCACCACATGAGAAGCCCACGCACCACAATGAAGAGTAGCCCCCGCTCGCCACAACTAGAGAAAGCCCACACACAGCAACGAAGACCCGACACAGCCAAAAATTAATTAATTAATTTAAAATAATAATAATAAAATACACATGTTAGTGGGTCATAGACCTAAATGTAAAATGCAAAACTATAAAACTCGTAGAAGATAACATAGGAGAAAACTGAGGTGATCTTGGGTTTAGCAATGGCTGTTTGTCTGTTTTTGGCCATGCTGCAGGGCTTGCGGGATCTTAGTTTTCTGACCAAGGATTGAACCTGGGCCCCGGCAGTGAAAGTGCCGAGTCCTAACCACTGGACCACCAGGGAACTCCCAAATAGCTCTTTAGATATAACACCAAAAGCAAGATCCATGAAAGAAGAAACAGATAAGTAGGACTTGATTAAAATTAGAAACTTCTGTTCTGCAAAAGACACTGTTAAGAGAATGGAAGAACAAGCCACAGCCTGGGAGAAAATATTTGCGAAACACATATCTGACTAGTATTCAACATACACAAAGAACCCTTAAAACTCAACAATAAAATAAAAAAACACCTCATTTTAAAATAGGCAAAAGATCTGAACAGCACCTCACCAAAATGATATACAGATATCAAATAAGCACATGAAAAAATGTTCCACATAATGTGTTATCAGAGAATTGCAAAGTAAAACGATGAGACACCACTACACACTTACTAGAATGACTAAAATCCCAAACACTGACAACACCAACTCACTAAGACATGCAGGGTACCTGATACTTCCTGCTATTTAGGTTTTATCAGCATTTTGTCATAATCATAGTGGACCAATGTGTTGTCTTATGGGATGCTAAGGTGATCAAAGTCCCTGTGGACTAAACTGTGGCCCAGAGGCAAAGTTAACTTGGTCCTGAAGCAAAATGGTGAAGATGTACTTCTGCCCTTGACAGGTTAAACAAAACTACTTTTGGCCTTCTTTGCTATTGAAATAAAGAAAAAACAGTCACAAGTTAATAACTTTATTATAGGTGGCAGAGGCTCTATTGTTTTGCTCTATAAAGAAACCATATCTGGAACAACAGTACAATTGGAGTCATCACCTGTCTTAACCTTTCAATAATCCACTGTCATTCTCCAAGGCTCTTCTGACTTCATCATGAGCCAGAGAGGTGAGTCAAGTGGGTAAGTAACAGGAATCACCACCTCTGAATTTTCAGGTCTTTGATGGTTACCAAGTCTTGCATTTCCCCCCAATGATGTGTTATTATTTGTTGTTTATAATTTTGATAGGAAGGAAGCCCTAGGGCTTCCACTTAGCCCTTTCAACCATAATAGCTGTATTCCCTGTATTAGAGAGACATATTCTGCCAACTGCTTACTATCCCTAGTCTATACACTCTGGAACTAGAGAAATCATGGGGAAAGGGGTTTAAGGACTGGACTGATGTTGAAGTAGATTAGAATCAAGTCAATTTATCACTTGACTCCACTCTGAATGGTGGATCACTGTGCCAACTACAGCCCCAATTAGCATTACAGCCAGTGTCAACAATCCCAGTATCACAGTTATTGTATTCATTTTCCAGGGCTGCCATAACAAAGTACCACAAACTGGGTGACTTAAAACAACAAAAGTTTATTCTCTTGCGGTTCTGGAGAACAGAAGTCCAAAGTCAAAGTGTTGCCACGGCTGGTTCTGAGGCTTTGAGGGGCATCTATTCCATGCCTCTCTCCTAGCTTCTGGTGGTTACCAGCAGACCTTGGCATTCCTCGCCTTGCAGTTGCATCACTCCAACCTCTGCCTCCATCCTCACATGGTGTTCTCTGTGTGTGTGTCCAAAATTCCCTCTTCTTATAAGGACATCAGTCATTGGATTAGGGCCCACACTAATTCCATATGACCTCATCTTAACTTGATTACATCTGTAAAGAACATATTTCCAAATAAGGTCACCTATTCCAAAGGTACCTGGGTGAGGACTTCAACATATCTTTTTGGGAGACATAATTCAACCCATAATTTACCCTGAGAAATGACTACAGGTCCCATCAGGGAAATCTGCAAGGAATATATAGACAGATATTTATATACATCTTCCATAAGTGTACTTGCTTTCACTTCATTCAAGGTACTCGAAATCTGTGAACTAACCCAGGCTTGGAAATTGGGTTAAATATCATAACTATCTTGTCTTAAGTTCACCCTCTGTTCACCAGTTCCAGAGGACTTTGGTTTTACAAATTAGGATATTAGTGAACTACCCATATTCTTTAGTCCCATCTGTAGTGTCTTCCTCCAGCATCACTGGCCTGCAGAAACCAGTTGCTACAGCACTTTCCAAAGATGCCATCACCCTCTCACAAATGTATTTCTCAACACCTTGGTGAAGAGAATGTCATCTGGGCCCTCTCAGGGGGTGGAATTGGGTGTAGATGAATCACACTTATAAACCTAGAAGGAGAGGTTTATAAACCAACATTCTCATCTCCTTAAGTGTTTTAATTATTTCTCCTTCATTATACCAAAGGATTCTCAATTTCATTTAACTTCATCAGTGAATCCAGGTGTCAGTCAACCAACTGAAAAAAAAAGCAATTAAATCTATTATACACCCACCAGGATGGAAAATATTAAAAAGACTGACACTATTTGACTTTCAAGAGTATGTGGAACAACCAGAGTTCACATACGTTATTGGTGAGAGTGTAAAATGGCACAACTACTTTAGGAAAACTCTGGCAGTTTCTTAGAAAACTAAATACACATCTACCCTATGACCCAAGAGAAATGAAAACATATAACCACAAAAAAAGTCTTGTACATAAATGTTCATAGCAGCATGATTGATAATAGTCTAAAACTAGAAATAACCCATATGTCCATCAAAAGAGAATGGCTAAGCAAACTGCGGTATTATATTAGTTTGTTATTGCTGTGTAACAAATAACTCCACAACTTAGCAGCTGAAAACAATGTTCATTTCAGCTCACAAGTTTGTATTTCAAAGTCTGGCACAGTTCTCATCTACTCAGAACGTGGCTGGACTATCATCTGCTCTGGATCTCAGGGTGTCAGTTGAGCTGCATTCCTTTCTGGGGGCTCTGAGGAAGAATCCACTCTTAGGTTTATTCAGGTTCTTAGCTGACTTCAGATCCTTGTGGCTGTAGGACTGAGGTCCTGTTTTCTTACTGGCTGTCAGCTGGAAATCACTTTCAACTCCTAGAGGTCACCCACATTCTTTGCAATGTGGCCTCTCCATCCAGCAATGAAGAATCATCCTCCTGTTGAGTGTCTCTCATGCTTCACATCTCTCTGACTTCACTGTTTAAGACCTCTTGAACCAAATGTAAACGGTTCATGTCATTAGGTTAGATCCACCCAGGTAATCCCCCTTTCTAAAAGTCAAATGTGCGGGACTTCCCTGGTGGCGCTGTGGTTAAGAATCCGCCTGCCGAGTCAGGGGATGTGGGTTCAAGCCCTGGTCCGGGAAGTTCCCACATACCGCGGAGCAACAAAGCCCATGTGCCACAACTACCGAGCCTGCGCTCTAGAGCCTGTGAGCCACAACTACTGAGCCCACGTGCCACAACTACTGAAGCCCGCGCACCTAGAGCCTGTGCTCCGCAACAAGAGAAGCCACCATAATGAGAAGCCCGAGCACCACAATGAAGAGTAGCCCCTGCTCGCTGCAACTAGAGAAAGCCCGTGCCCAGCAACAAAGACCCAGTGCAGCCAAAAAATAATTTAGAAACAGAAAAAAAAAATTTTTTTTAAAAGTCAAATGTGCTATATAAGTGGTCCCCAACTTTTTGACACCAGGGACTAGTTTCATGGAAGACAATTTTTCCACGGACTGGAGGCAGGGAGGATGGTTTGGGGATGATTCAAGTGCATTGATTTATTATGGTTTCTGTGCAGTCAAACCTCTCTGCTAATAATAATCTGTATTTGTAGCCGCTCCCCAGCGCTGGCATCACCACCTCAGCTCCACCTCAGATCATCCAGCATTAGATTCTCACAAGGAGTGCACAACCTGGATCCCTCGCATGCACAGTTCACAGTAAGGTTCGCACTCCTATGAGAATCTAATGCCACCGCTGATCTGACAGAGCTCAGGCAGTAATGCAAGTGATGGGGAGTGGCTGTAAATACAGATGAAGCTTCGCTCCCTCACCTGCCTCTCACCTCCTGCTGTGTGGCCCAGTTGCTAACAGGCCACAGACCGGTACCAGTCCGTGGCCTGGGGGCTGGGGACCCCTGTGCTATATATGACATAACCTAATCATGGGAGTGCTATCCCATCGTATTCACAGAATTGGGGATTGTACAGGCCATGTGCACCAGGAAGCAGGAATCTTGGGGGACATCTTAGAATTCTGCCTACACAGGTATATTCATTCAATGAAACACTACTCAGCAATAAAAAGTAGTGAACTATTGATACACACAACATGGATGAATCTCAAAAATATTATGCTGAGTAAAAAAGAAGGCTTACACAAAGAGTACTCAGAGGAATTCAAGAACAGGCAACATTAATCTGTAGTGGAAAAGAATCAGAAGAGTGGTTGCCTCTGAGGGAGCGGGCTTGGGATTGATTGGGAAGAGGCATGAAAGAACTTTCTGGGGTGATGGTAAGGGGTAGGGTTGCACAGATATATGCATGTGTCAAACTCATTGAATGGTACACTTAGATTTATTCATTTCACTATATGAAAATTTTACCTGAAAAATTAACAATAATTTTCTCTACTTAATGATATGCACACTGAAGTGTTAGGGGCCAAGTGTATGGATGTCTGCAACTTACTGTGAATGCATCAAAAATACAGTCTGAAAAATTCTACATGCTCTGTGATTCTATTCTGGAAAAGGCAAAAATATAGAGACAGTATTGGAAAGGGGAGAGGGATTAATAGTTGAAACACAGGGGCAGTGAAACTATTCTGTATGACACTGTAATGGTGAATAAAGACATGTATTTGTCAAAAACTATAGAAACATATAACACAAAGAGTAAACCTTAATGTAAACTATGGACTTTAGTTAATAATAATATATCAATACTGGTTCATTAATAGTAACAGATATACAACACTAATGTAAGATGTTGATAATAGGAGAAACTAGGGTGGGGGAGGGGAGTATATGAGAACTTTCTCTATTATCTGCTCATTTTCTATGTTAATCCAAAATTGTCCTAAATACTAAAATCTATTAATTAAAAAAATAATCTGAAAAAAAATACAATGAATTGACAGAAAAATGCATAGATGGGTGGGTATGTGATCAAGTGAATATAATAAGATGTTAGACTCTAAGAAAAAATAAACTCATCTCTTTTGTACAAAAAGGTGATTAGAACTCCCAGCTCTTAAAATCGGCACATGGAATCCAGGCTCTCTGGTAAGTGCACTCATATTGGTCATTTCATTCTAATTTTAAATTATGTTCCTCCTCCTTAGTCCTGAACCCTCAGAATCCATTCCCACATATATTTGCCAAATTTTATTGATATAAATTTGAAAAATCTTTTAATTCTTTTAGTGAGAAGGCCTTCTTGTGAATTTGAGCTCCTATTTGACCCTGATGCATGTTGGGGTCTGATTTTGATAATGAGTATGGAGACGATTAAGTCAGTGGGATGGGGCATGAGGAGACTTGGCTTCCTCTTGCCACATAATTCCCCATGGGAAGTCTACATATAGTCTTCACACCAGAGGGAAGCAACCCCATTGGACAGGGAGAGGGTGCTATAGTCTTTGGCTATTTTCAGTGGTAGGTTGGGGTTGTAAGAGAGATCACCAATTGCCTGCTGTGGTAGACAGCTTCTGACATGACTCCCAGAGATCCCTGCCTCCTGATGCTCATGCCCTGTGTAATCCCCTCTCCCTGGGTGTGAGCAGGGAGAGGGGATAGTAACTTGCTTCTAAGGAATAGAAATGGCAAAAGTGACAGAATGTCATTTCCAAGGATAGGTTATAAAAGGCTGACTTCAGTCTTGCTGGCATTCTCTCTGGCTCTTCCTACATGCTTGCCCTGATGGAGAGGCCCATAGGCCAAGGGAATGAGGGTAACCACTGGCAAACATCTGATAAGGACTGAGCCTTTCAGAGGAACTGAGTCCTGGAGGAACTGAGTCCTGGCAACAACCATGTGAGTGAGCTTGGGGGAAATCATTCCTTAGTCAAGCCTTCATTTGAGACTGCAGAACTAGCACCTCGATTGCATCCTTGGGCGAGGCCCTTGAAGCAGAAGACTCAGGTTAGCCACACCCAGATTTCTTACCCACAGAAACTGTGACTTTATAAGTATGTGGTTTCTTTGGGGTTTTTTTGTTTTGCTTTGCGGTACGCGGGCCTCTCACTGTTGTGGCCTCTCCCGTTGCAGAGCACAGGCTCCGGACGCGCAAGCTCAGCGGCCATGGCTCACGAGCCTAGCCACTCCGCACCATGTGGGATCCTCCCGGACCCGGGCACGAACCCATGTCCCATGCATCGGCAGGCGGACTCTCAACCACTGCGCCACCAGGGAAGCCAAGTGTGTGTTGTTTTAAGCTAGTAAGTTTGGGGTAATTTGTTATGCAGCAATGGAAAACTAATACACTTGCCTAATATCCATTCTCTCCTTATTCCTCAGCAACAGAGACTCTATTTTATTTGGGATACTAACATGCCCAGCTAAAATCATGCTGTTTCTAATCTCTCATTAAGTCTGATGTGACCATATGACTGAGTTCAGGCAGAAAAGAAGTAAGCAGAAGTGTTGCATGGAACTTCTGGAACGTTCCTTATAGGGAGATATCTCACTGAGAAATGTACCTTTTGTTTTCCTTCTTCCTCATTCTTGCCGCCTAGAATGTGGATGTGATGACTGGAATTCCTGCAGCCATCTTAGAACATGAAGTAACTTTGAGGTTAGAAATCATACTCTAGGAAACAGAAAGGAAGAAGGAATATGAGTCCCTGATGTGCACTCAGCAGCCATACCAACACTGGACTCCTTACCTCCAGACTTACTTTAAGTGAAGAAGAAATAATCTGTTATCTTGTTTACACTATTGTTATTTTGGATTTTCCCTTATGTGCACCCAAAATAACCCTAACTCGTAGAGGACTCAGGGCTCTCTTAGCCATGCACATCCTCTCATTTATCACCAACCCATGTCCCTCTTCCAAACAATACTCAAACTCTCACACAGGAGCAATCTTTGAGTTTGATTTTTACATTTTTCAATCTCTTTAAGCTTTCCACACCTCCTCACAATCCTTGCATTCCTCATTCTCTTTATACTGATCTCTGACAGTCCCCCAAGTCTGTGCTCTCAATGGACACTTCATTCCAGGTGCCACTAGTAATAAACTGATGAGCTGTTTTGCCCCTGAATGCCACTCCATCTCTGGATTTCCACTAACTCTAGTCCCAACAAAGCCACACAACTATTCCCAGATTCCAACTAGTACCCTGAGAGTTTGATGCCCTCAGCCAATCTAGTACCAATTTCTTTATCAATCAGTCATTAGTTACAAGCAACAGAAACTAACTTCATCTTATTTAAGCAAAATAAAATTTTATGTTAAACATATTACATTTATAAAACATATCTCAGGGGATTGCTGAAATGACTGGAGGACCAAATACAGAGCCACACAACTAGAAACAATGCCCTAAATTAAGCTGCATTGTTGTCTCCATGAGGACAGCCCCATCACCACTGCCCCTTGCACAGCTGGCATGGTTGGCACTGAACCCTCAATGCTGCCCAAAACAAGCTATGTCGGGGCCCTGCTGCACCTAGAACTAGATCTTGCTGTAAAGCCATTTCCCCTGGAGAGAATTCTTATGGTCACTGAGTGCTCACTTCCTTAGCTACAGAGTCATTAGCTTAGGCTGTGATCAAGGTACATGCTTGGCTGAGAATAGGTCAGGTGTCTGCACTCTGGTTTTAAGGGAAGTTCAGAGAGTATCTGACATCTATTAGTTAGGGAATTCCCCTAACATAGGAAGTGGTTTCAGATGCCAGATGTCAAAAAAAAATGCCAACTTTTTCCTACTCTCAGGCCAGGGTGCCAAGAAGGACTGGGAGAATCACACTTCCCTAATTTCTCTAGATCTTCCCAAATATTCCCATTATCACCTGTCAAACAGTCAATGTTTCCTAATCAATGCATTCACTCTAGAATGTGGCAGAGAACTTGGCTATAACCAATCTGCAGATCACATGGCTATCCTCCTGCAGCAGCCTCAGATTGCTGGCCATGGGCAGAGGCTTCCTTACCAGAGTTACAAATTGTCATGCTGTTCCTCATCTGCTTGTCCCCTCTTAAACCCCTTCCCAAGGTTGCCAGATGTGAATTATTTTACCACTTTTCTACTTAATCCTCTGCAGTTACAACCACAGGGCAATGGGGAAAGTTGAGGTCAAGCTCTAAGAGACAACATGCAGTAGTTTTCCCAGTTACTTCATTATCACCTAACAAGGACATCTCATTTCCAGGCTCAGAATGGAGGGATTCTCACTGCATCCCACCCTATATCAACAAGGCCAGTTCCTTTTTTAGGGTCTGCTGTTTGCATCACTGCATACCTTATACCTATTTTTTATTTGAATCTCTTTGTTTGGAAGTGACAGAAATCCAACTTGAAATAGATTAAACATAAAGAAGACTGTATTGGGTAACAAAATCCAATAAAGGGCTGAAGAACTAATTTGCACAAAGCGTAAGGATGTCTCAGGAATAACTGGAACTAGGCTCTTAAATTCTAACATAAGTCTCTATATCTTTTGCCTCAGCTTCTTATTTATTCTTTCTTCACTCCAACCACCTTCCTTCTCTTCATGTTGGGGAACATGGCTGCAAACATTTCCTGAGCTTTACATTTATAGTTTTCACCATTCAAAAGAGAATGACTGGTTTCTCAATTCAAATAAGAAAAAAATGGTGAGAAAGGGTTTTATTGACCCATCTTCAAACAGGTACCCACACCTGGACCAGTTATGGCTGAGGGTAGGATTATGTAAGAACAGTGGTTCCGTGGGTAGCCATGTTTGGAGGAGGATGTTTGGATGGAGGAGACAGTTCCCAAGAGAAAAGTTGTGCTGGGCTAACCACACTACAGATGTCCACGATGGTGGCCCTGAGGCAAGTCCTTTCTCATGCACAAAAGCTTGAATAAGCTTATCAATGTATGGCATGTTTGGTAGGATCAAACCCTTTTTTCCCCCTTCCCTTTTTAAAAAAAGAGCCATCTTGTCTCACCTTCTATGTACCATTCTCTTGCCCAGACAACTAAAACATTCTAAGGAGAGCCTCCCCATAAGTTAAGTGCCTATGTGCCCACCAGATCGGAAGATCCTTAAAGAAAGCAACCAGGATTAATTTATCGCCATGTGTCGACTGCCCCATGATTCCATCATAGATCAGACACTCAAGAAATAGTTGTAGAACTGAGTTAAGATCTCTTCTCACTCTTCAGCGATCTCTGAGAACTGAACATTTTAGATGTTTAGGATCCCTGGAAAGGCCTAATGCTAGAAGCTAAAAATAAAAGTGGAAATTAATAGAAGACCGGGTAACTTAAGGTAGTGGTGGGAAGAAAAAAAATAGTCAGTAAGGGTTTTCCCCATAACAGAGAGATGAACAAGAGACTACAGGTTATGATAGACAGGTTGGGAATATACAGTTAATATATTTGCCTCCAACCTTCCCTGGACCCAAAATTATAGCAGGAGAGAAGAGCGATTGGGAAGAACATTGCTGATGGAGTTGGTAGATATATGGGGGTGAAAGGAATTTTAAGGTCCTTAAGCAGGACCAGAAATGTGCTAACTTTTCACTGATAGATAAGCTCCATCCTTTATTAGAAGGTCGACATGGATGTCTAATCAAGCTTGGCTTCTAATCATAGTTGTACAGTGATGACACTGAGGACATTGCTTCAGAGAGTGAGAAGATGCATTTCAAAGGTAAGGAGGCGCCATCACTTTATGTTCTCCCCCTAGAGAGAGAAGGACTGACAGGAGTGCACTGGGTTAGTAAATCAGCCTGGTGCCCACATTCTGAGCCCTGGAGATCCTTGCTCAGAGTTCTGAGGGAGGCTAAGATCTGTGGCTGCTCTAGAAGTAGCCTGGGAATTCTCCAAGTGACCACAGGCAGGGAGAGTTCTCCAAGGCATGGGTCCTTTCTCCTCTGTTCTCAAGGTAATTCCGCTATCCAGGCTCGCAGAGTTGGGATCAGAGCAGCAGAAAAAGGACAGTCCCCACTGTACCCTCTCCCCAGGTTCCTTTTTGCATGCTGCTCCCTCTCTGGAAGGAATCCTCCCCACCATGACACACTCTCGCTGTTTTCACTTTTCCTCCAGGACTCCTCTCTGGGCATCAGTTTCTTCATCTGCAAAAATTAAGGGGTCAGGCTGGGTAACTCTGCAGGGCCCTGATATCTTCTGAAATCTCGAAGGTAGAAGTGATGCTGTGATGCAAAGACAGGAGTCCATGCCCAGATTATATGTCCAGGTATCAGGTGCAACAGATCAGAGGAGCTTGACTAGAGTGTGGTCTGGGTCTGTCAGTCACAGGCCTCAATCACTTGGTGAGAGAGAGAAGGGGTGGTGGTGGGAGCTAATTTATTTAATGTTTACTATGTGCCAGACACTGTTCAAACACTTCATATATATATATATATATATATATATATTTTAATAAATTTATATTTTTTGGCTGCGCTCGGTCTTGGTTGCTGTGCGCGGGCTTTCTCTAGTTGTGGCGAGCAGGGGCTACTCTTTGTTGTGGTGCGTGGGCTTCTTGTTGCAGTGGCTTCTCTCGTTGCAGAGCATGGGCTCTAGGCGCGCGGGCTTCAGTAGTTGTGGCACACGGGCTTGGTAATTGTGGTTTGTGGGCTGTAGAGCACAGGCTCAGTAGTTGTGGCACATGGGCTTAGTTGCTCCGTGGCATGTCGGATCTTCCTGGACCAGGGCTTGAACCCTTGTCCCCTGCATTGACAGGTGGATTCTTAACCACTGTGCCACCAGGGGAGTCCTACTTCATATATTTTAATTCACCTAATCATTAAAATAAACCAGGTTACAGGTGAAAAAGGTGAGGCACAGAGAGGTTGAATAACTTACCCTAAGTCATCCAGCTTGGAAGTGGCAGTGTCAGAGCTAGAACCCAGCAATCAGGCTCCAGAATATGTCATCAGTTATGGAAGTGAGGACATGCTTAGCAAGGAGGCTTCACAGCAGGATTGCTGTGACAGTGTTTCATGTCAGAGCATTTTTAGTTCCCCAGGAGTGCATGCATTTGGGAGGGGGTCTCAGTCAGGATGAGCTCCCACATCAGATCACAGCCACTAGCCTCTCTGGTATGAGGCCCTTGCAAAGCCCAGCCCACTCTGCCTGTCTCCTTCTTTTATGGTGAGTTCTCAGGAAGCCCTCTTGGGTGTCCGCGTATCACACACACACACACAGATGCACACAGCCTGGCCTCCAAAGTCCCCCCACCTCCACCACCTGAAACACCTGAACCCAACAGTGGACAGGGTTCAAAGCATTTTCTTGGGCTTCATCTCAGTTTCAGTGCCAATCAGCAGATACAAATGGCTCCTTGCAGAGAGAGGAGGCTCGAACTTCACAGTCCTGAGTCAGGGGAAGGGCAGCTCCTGCCCAGCCGACCCTGAAACATGCATGTTACCATAAAACTTCCAATCACAGCCATTTGTTTGATTATCTGTAAAGGTGTCAAGTATTTATAGGTTATACTGCTCAGAGCTCTTGGTTTTAAGTGTCAGAAGCCCAACTTAAAGCAGTTTAGACAGAATGAGGAACTTAATGGCTCAATGACCAAACTGTAGAAATGACAGGGATGGCTCATGGAAACAGAGACAGGTGGAACCAGGGCCTCATATCTCTGCTGGTCCCTGCATGAAAGCTTCAGTTGCTCCTTTGCTTCAGCTTTGTCCCTGTGGAAGGGATATGGCCCCTTGAAAATTCCTCAGATGAGGAAGGACTTTCTCCCAGGCAGAAGGTTGGCCCAGATGGAGGAAGTTTCCTGTCCTTGGGGATCGAGGGAATGAAGACGGGAGTATGATCCCTTTTCAGAGAGTGGGGAGTGGGAGGCTGGGGTTGGGGATTCCTTCCCTAGAAACAAGGGCAGGATTCCCCAACACAAAGAGTTCAGCCTAGCCTTCACTAATTCATTCAACAAACAGATATGGGAAGGCCTATGATGTGCAGTGATGCCATAGACATCGTGGGTAGGCTGCAGAGAAAGTGATCAACATGAGGACACAGCTCTGCCCTGAGACCTTGTACTTTATTGCAAATACTTCAACAAGGTGAGTAACCAAAAGAGAGGGAGGTACTGTGGGACACCCAACCTAGTCTAGGGGTATCAGGGAAGGCTTCCAGGAAGCAGTGACTTCCAAGTTGATACCCAGTGGACAAACAAGCGTCAACCAGGTTTTGGCTTGCTTTTTGGCGAGGGATGGGGGGAGTGTGGTGGGATGGAGACTGGAATGAACATTCCAGCCAGAGAGAAGAGCTCTGAACTAAAAGATCAATGTGTGAGGGCTGCAAAGAAAACCACGGTGAGGAGGAAGCAGACTGGAGCACTGGCATGGAGGACATTGTGGGCCAGAATGGATTTGATCCTGAGGGCAATGGAGAGCCATGGGAGGTCTAAGGAAGAGAGCAGTGGCACTGTCTGATTTCCCAATTGTGAGATCACTTGGGTCCCTGGGTCAAGGTAGAGAGGTACACCTCCCACACCAGTGGAGAGAACATTTTGAATCAGTTTTGCTCTCAGTTTTAGAAGCTTAGACCTAAAAACAATTAGAGAAAATACCTCAAAGAAACACCCTGAAAAGGAGTGGTTACAGAAAGGGGGATAGGTGTCCTTGTGTTAAGCAAAGAATGAGTGGCCAGGGAAGTGAATCACCTGAGGGTGGGCATGCTCCCCACTGTGCTGGTAAGCTGGGGGGAGGGATTCCAGGAGCCGTCTCTCAACCCCCGAGGACTCTGGTTGGTGACAAGGGGGCCCCCCTGCCTTCTTGCTGGGTCTCCACTTCTCCACCTGCAAAACTTGCCAAGATTGGGTGCAGGAGGCTGGGGGTTGGGTGGGAAAGCTGCTAAATCCTCCTTAGGTGAGCTGCGGGGGTGGAAGAGTTCTCTAGTCTCTTCTCCTGGAAAGGATTCTGTATCCTGTGGCCCCACAGTATGGAGGCCAATGGCTAAGTCCGTGGAGCGCGTCTGTGGCCAAGTCCAGACTGAGTCTAGGTGGTTTTCCTGAAGAAGAAAAAGGCCTCTGCAGGAGGGGGTGGAAGCTGAGAAAGAGTGAAGGGGTCATTTGGTTACTCCCCAGTCTTGACATTCATCACACACACACACACTCTGTGCCGAGGGTGCTGGGGACCAGAGACTCACACCCAGCAGCAGCGGGGAGAGGGGCTGAACTGTGGGACCTGGGGGAGGGGAGAGGCAGGCTGGGCCTTGAAGGTGCAGGGCAGGGTCCTGTGGCCTTCAGGACAAGTTAGGAGAGAGGCAACCCTCCCCCTCTGCAGCTTCACACCGCGCCTCCACTACAGTCCTTCTGCCCGCTGGGCGCTCCAGCTGGTGGGTCTCGGCTCTCCAAAGGCTCTTTCTCTCCGCCCCTTAGCCTCTGTTCCTCTGTTGTGTCTGTCCCTGGCCTTGTCTCACTGAGACTGACCCTCCGTGTGTGTCTGTCTCACTATCACTGCCCTGTTTTGTCTCATCTCTCTCTTCATCTCCATCACAATCCTTCTTTCCAACCGTGTCTCTTCCCTGTGTTTTCTGTCTCCATGCCTGCCTCACTTGCTTTCTCTGTCCCCCTCTCATCTCTCTCTTATCTTTGTCTCCTCTATCTCTGCCTTGTCCCACCTCCTTCCCTTCCTTCCTCTTGTACATGTTTCACCTTTGTCGCCACCTCTGTCCCTGTCTCCCTCTTGCCGCCCCCCCCCCCCCCGCCCACGTCTCCAATCTATCTCTCTCGTCCATGTCTCATCCTTATCTCCATCTGTGTACCTGTATCTCTCTTGTCCCTTTCTCCATCTTTCTCCATCACTGTTTCTGTCCCTTTCTCACCCTGTCTCCGTCTCTGTCTCCTCTCTTCATCCACATCCTCTGTCCCCATCTCAGGCCCCGTCTCTTCCTCGTCCTTGTCTTCATTCCCCCTCCTGAGCCATCTCCGTGGTCCCTTCCGGGATGGGACCTCGCTGGGGGCGGGGCCGAGGGACTGGATCGGAATAACTCGGTTATCAGGACGAATTGAATTAACTTCTTCACACGAGCGCCGCCGGGCCTGTTTCCCCTCCCTTCTGCGGGGCCGCAGGTGGAGAGGCCAGGGAGAGGGGTCGGGACCCTACGGCTGGGCACGATGCATAGACTGAAGGTCTGGTCCGGATTGGGGCGGGATGGGGGACTCTAGGGATGGGGCCCCGCGCAGCCTGCCCTGAACATCCCGAGCTCTAAGAGGGCGGCGGCGACCCTTTGGGGTGGGGGTCGGGGGCGGCTGGGGGCGGGGCCTTGGCCGTCCAGGCCCCGCCCCGCCGAGCTCGCCCCGCCCCGCCCCCTCCTCGGGGTCCTACGCGTTAAAAGGCGCGCGGGCCGGGTTGGGCTGCACTTGCGTTGCACCGGGGCGGAGCGCGGCCGCGACGGGGCGGGCGGACTCGCGAGCTCTGAGAGCCGGCCTCGGGTCCTCGGCCCCTGGCGCTCCAACCCCCATCTTGACCCCCACCCGGCCCGGGACACCAACTCCGACCCGGCCCGGCCCGGCCCCCGCCCCCGCCCCCCGGGCCGATGGACTACTCCTACCTCAATTCGTACGACTCGTGCGTGGCGGCCATGGAGGCGTCCGCCTACGGCGACTTCGGCGCCTGCAGCCAGCCCGGCGGCTTCCAGTACAGTCCCCTGCGGCCCGCCTTCCCCGCGGCCGGGCCTCCCTGCCCCGCGCTCGGCTCCTCCAACTGCGCGCTTGGCGCTCTACGCGACCATCAGCCTGCGCCCTACTCGGCAGGTGAGCCCATCCCCGGTACCACCCTCCTTCCAAATCCTACAGCACCCCTAGCCCCTGCCCTACTCGGCTAGTGGTTGCGACTGTCCCCCACAGCCGCCACAATCCCTGCCCTAGTCAGACCCTCCAACTCCCCGCGGGATCCACAGTCCCTCGTGTAAGACGGGATTCCCTAGGCAGAGTTGAGCCCCACCCTCTCCTCCTTCCCGTTCCTCTTCTCGCTGCCGTATCCCTATCCCGTGCTCTTTAGGTCAAGGAAATAGATCCCCAGTGTAGCCCCAGGCTCCTCACCAGGCCCTCCCCTGCCCATCTGCAAAGACTGACCACTAAACCTCTCCATGCCCTGTATCCTTGGAAAATGCTCTCGGCTCAGGCCAATAAGACCTCCCATCCTTATCATTCCCACCCCGCTTCATGCCCGACCCCCAGCATGGACCCCTGCGGCAGATGAGCTGCCCAGCTGGGAGCCTTCCCAGAGCCCCAGCACCATCAAGCCCCTACTGCCTGGTTTTGAACCCATCCTACCTGTGCCCAAACCCTCTTGCGCTATTGAAACCCATTCTGTGGCCAGAAGAAAAGGATGCTCAGGTCATTGAGCAACTTTCATTTCCCCATGCCTCCTGGAGATTCTCCCAGCTAGAGTACTGCAGAACCCAGAAGCAGTCCCATGCAATACCCAAGCCCCCTGATCCAAGACCCCATCTGAACCTTCAACCTCGTGGAGCCTCTTAGCCACCCCCATTGCTCCAGTTAGAGTTCAAGCTGCCCCACCCATTCTCCTTATCTTCTTCCCTCCTGGGAAGACCACCGGGACCCAGTAGAAGATTGGGACCTGTGTGGTGGGGAGGGATGGTGAGAGAGACCTGGATTTGGAGAAGTGAGAACCAGAGAGATGGAGTCAGAAACTGGAACGGGGATGGGGAGATTGGGTACTCTGGGTCATATGCAGATGGGGACTGGGGAGCTGGAAACAGGAAATGGGGAGATGGGCCCTAGAAAGATGGAGGTCTGAGATGGAGAAGACAGGGACAGATATAGAGAGATGTGAGCAGAGATGGGAAGATTGGGGTACTTGGAAGAAATGGAGAACCAGGGTTGGGGAGATGGAGATAAAAACCAGGTGATGGGGACAGGAATTATGGGAGATGGGGACCAAGGAAAATTGAAAACAGAGATGAGAAAGATGGGGATAGGAATGGGGTGTTGGAGACAGGATTAGGGGAGATAGAGAACTAGGGAGATATGACAAAGATAAGGATATTGGGGATCCCTGGAGAACAGGGAGAACTAAACGGGGGCTGGAGACAAGGATGGGGAGATAGTGTCAGAAATACTGTCCATGGGACAATGGGTACTGGGAAGGGGTAGATGGGAGACGGGGATGGGAAGAGTGAAGGGAAGGGTTGGGGCTGGTTTTTGGAGGAGTTGGGAGACAGAGAGAGATGTCTGGGAGGAAGAAGAAGGGCAAAGAGAAGATGGAGGAACCTGGGAGGGGAGAAATAAGAACCCTTCTCAATGGGCACAAAGAGAAGAATGGTCCAGGAGGGGAAAGTTGCAGATAGATGTGGTTGGAGAGAGATGAAAAAGAGAGGGGGACACCTGGAAGAGAATGCGATATGAGATCGGGCTGAGGAAATGAGGCCTAGGAAGGAGAGGGATGCAGGGTAGAGGCGGCCAAATTTTTACATGTCAGAGAGTCCGTGGCAGGCCTGAAAGTAGACCCGCGGTCCATGACTGGTTACTGGGGAGACACAGGATGTTGATGAGACCTGACAGACAGCTAAGGCTAGAATGGATATAGCAGGACCTGAAGTCAGGCCGACTGAGGGAGAAACACACTGAGGGTCGGGTCCGGTAGACTGGCGGGAGATAGAGGGAACACTGCGGAGGGCCAACGACAGGCCAGCAGCCTGGATCCGAGGATCAGATTTTGGTTCCCTCTCTGCGGCTCTTGGGCCCCAGGCCTCCCCGCGCCCCGTCCGCTTTCACCCCTGCCGGCTCCATCCAGCGATAGGGAAGCCGATCCGTACTGAGAGGACCAAGCCGAGGGGCCAGGTCAGGGGCGGGGGATGGTGAGCGATCCCTCAGGGGCAGAACACAGCGGGCCGGGATCGGCCCCTCACATCCCCACCCTTGTTGATTTCCCCCCTCCTGCACACACCCGTAGTGCCCTACAAATTCTTCCCGGAGCCGTCGGGCCTGCACGAGAAGCGCAAGCAGCGGCGCATCCGCACCACGTTTACCAGCGCGCAGCTGAAGGAGCTGGAACGCGTCTTCGCCGAGACTCACTACCCCGACATTTACACGCGCGAGGAGCTGGCGCTCAAGATCGACCTTACCGAGGCTCGCGTGCAGGTGCGTGTTTGCGCGGAAGTGTGTGCGCGCGGAGCGGGGCCGGGAAGTTAGTGCCTGACACCTGGGGGTCCGAGGGACAGAGGGGCCTCACTCGGGCAGCGGGCGGGTACAGCCCGGGGGCGGCGAACTAGGACCAGGGGCCAGGGTGCAGTCTGGAGGTGATTGGGCAGGGGAGGACCGGCAGCCCCGGGAGGCGGTGGGGCCAGGCGGGTCCTGAGGCCTTCGGAAGAACTGAGCTGTTCAGCCCCACGATTTCTCCTCAGTCTCCCGGGTAGGGCTGGGCACGCAGAGTGATGCTTGGGAAGCCAGGACGGAGGCCGAGTGGATAGAGGGTCAGCTCCAGGTGGCCTCGGGGCCAAACAAGGCCGAGCAGTGGGGGAAAGCCAGTCAGCGCCTCCAGGTCCCCTCTTCGGCTCTGCAACGGTGAAACTTCTGAGTCTGGAAAGCCCGGGTTCAGGGTAGGCGCAGGAGCTGGGTCGGGACGGACTTTTCGTCGATCTTACAAATCTTGAGTACAGATGTTCAGCTGGCATGCCTTTACTGGAGACCCTGCACAAAAGGCTTCCCGAGTGCCCTAACCCTCTCTCCACTGCCGTGGGACGCTCCGGGGGGACTCCCGGAGCTCCTTGTAGGAAAGAACTGGGGCGAGGGCTTTGGGTGATGAGGAGAGCGAAGGCGGAGTTCCCTCCGGGAGACAGAGAACACTGGGAGGCAGCGGGATCCGCGGGTGAGCAGATCCCAAGGGGAAGAGCCTAAGGACCTGGAGGAAGGGGCTAGTGGAAGAGGGGAGGGAGGCGAGAGACGAGGAGGGGAGGGAGGCGAGAGACGAGGAGGGCAACGAGCAGAGTGGTGGAGGGGGTCAAGACTCAGAAGGCTGGTAATAATCCTGACCAGCCCCCTCCGGAAGGAGGTCTCACCGCGCCCGCCGGCCCCGGGCTGACCGGCCCCTGTGCCCGCAGGTCTGGTTCCAGAACCGCCGGGCCAAGTTCCGCAAACAGGAGCGTGCGGCCAACGCCAAGGGTGCGGCGGGCGCGGCGGGCGCCAAAAAGGGTGAGGCGCGCTGCTCCTCTGAGGACGACGACTCCAAGGAGTCCACGTGCAGCCCCACGCCCGACAGCACCGCGTCGCTGCCGCCGCCGCCGCCCGCGCCCGGCCTGGCCAGCCCGCGCCTGAGCCCCAGCCCGCTGCCCGCCGCCCTGGGGTCCGGACCTGGAGCCGGGCCGGGGCCACAGCCGCTCAAGGGCCCGTTGTGGGCCGGCGTGGCGGGCGGTGGGGGCGGCGGACCGGGCGCGGGCGCGGCGGAGCTGCTTAAGGCTTGGCAGCCGGCGGAACCCGGACCAGGGCCCTTCTCGGGGGTTCTGTCTTCCTTCCACCGGAAGCCCGGCCCCTCCCTGAAGACCAATCTCTTCTAGCTGCCGGCCTCTAGAGGCTCCGGGCCTGCCGCCTGAGACGCCCCTGCCCCTCCAGGATCTGACAGAGTCCCTCCTCATCCTGGCCACCTGCCTGATGTCCCCATCTGTCCCACCCCCCACCGTGCCTGACACCTATGTGTGCCCTCCCCAGCTTTGGAGACCAAGTCAGGGCCACTCTCATCCTCACCCACCCCTACTCAGTGGAGGGGGGTACTTTTCACTGGGATGCCCTCCAGGAGAGCCCAGAACCCCTTCTAGCCTGGTATTCTTCAGAACCGGAATCAAACAACACCTGCCCCTAACACAGTGCCCAAAGGTGACTCCTCAAACGGGGACAGCCTGGCTTCCTCCCCTGCCCCTGTAGCTGGCTGGGTCACTCAGCTTGGAGAGCAGTCTGCTGCTCCAGCCCTTGGGCCCACCCACACTGACCCCACCCGTGCAAAGGCTGGTCGTCATTGGGATAACGAGTGGCCTGAAGGGTCCCACCACCAATTTCACCCTCATGCATCCCCTCCCATCCCCAGCCGGTCTGGCACAGAGGGCAGGCCCGTTAGATGAGTGGAGGAGCTGCCAGGGCAACGGGATGGAGGGGCTTCCTCGTTCCTGTTTTTTTGTCATTGTTGCTGTTGTTGCTCTTTTCCTTTGAAAAACCTGTAATTTATTGAGGTGAGTTTTGCTCAATCCAAATAAAACTTAATTTATTGAAGACAGCACACCGGCAACCCTTCTGAGTACCCACGATGGGGACAGGCTACCTGCAAGAGACCGGTTCCCCTTGTGACCAGCGAGGAACCCTGAGCTGCCACACAGCCCCAGGGCAGGGCGGTACAGACCAGGAGACAAATCTAAGCAAACTGGCGCTTTATGGCCAAAATTATTCCCCCCCACCTAAACCGGCCCCTATAACATTAAAGTGCCCGCCCTCCCTAAGCCCATACAGAAAAGCTTAAATAAACCCTAGCCCAGTTCTCGGGCTATTCCTTCATTTCCGGACGGACACCCCCCAGAATGGGGGTTGGGAGAGGTCCTAGCCGAGCCCCTCCACCTGTGGTTCAGGCCAGGTGGAGGGCAGCAGGAACAACGGTGAGAGTGGGGGCCCACGACGTACCCATATGGACCCCATGGCCTCCCTGGGGCTGGAGAAGGGGTCCAGAAAGGGAGGACAGCACCAGAATAACCAAGATCCTCGGTAACCACGGCAACTGACCTCCTGGGCCCTGACTCTAAAAGGTGAGGGGCAGGATGTCCTAACTAGGGCATTCCAAATGATTGGGCAGTAGGGAACGCAGATCCCCAATAAATAGGCAGAGAAGTACTGCCCCGCCTGCTCGTAACTTTTTCAACTCCGGAGCTCTGGCTGGGCCTTCAAGGGCAGGTTGAGGCGCTCAGTTCTTAGCTTCGCAGTGCCACCGCGATCACTTGCTGAGCTGCAGGGTGTCCAGAAGGAGGCGCTTGTGAGCCGGGTCCTGCACCCCAGCTTCCTCCAGATCTTCTTCGGTGATGTCGCTGTAGGGGTAAAAGACGCTGGGAGAAGGGCGAGGTGGTCCAGAGAGCCCGTAGCTCCACACCCGAGGCCAGCCCCACCCCCACCCCCCCACCCCCGTCCACCTCCAGCCCCGCCCCCACCTGAGAAACTCCAGGTCGTCCCAGCCATTGTGCACCAGGCCCTCCTCATAGCGCTCCAAGCCGATGGCCCGCAGCCAGGCTCCCATGCCTGCCTCGCCCAGCCCACCAGACCGCCCGACCTGCGGGCACGGAGCCTGAGGGAATAGGGCACGTCAGAGAGAGCACTGAGGGTGCCTCACACAGCAACATTCTACCGCGTGCTCTGGGGTGGGGAGAGAGGCCAGGAGCGGGGCTGATTCATATGACCTCCAACTCCTCCCCAGTGCCCAGTTCAGGGCAGAGGCAACACCACTGAGTGCTGAATGAAGTAAAAGTATACCACGACCCATGGGCAAGCACACACCGACAGCCACCCCTGGTGCACATACCTCTTCTGCCAGGTCCTCCTGAATGCTCTCTCGGATGCGAGGTGGAGGGAAGCTGAGAGGCCGGCCATAGTCCGAGGGCAGTCCCCGGGGCGGCTGCAGCTCCAGGGGTCCTGGCAGGAGCACGGAGCGGCCAGGCCCAGCAGGAGCGTAGTCCACCTCACTCAGTGTCTTGGCCATCTGCAGCACTGAGCAGGAGCGGTCATCCCCACTGGCTGCCTCCCCCAGGAAAGTGCTGGTGGGAGAGGGGCCTGGGGGCAGTGGGGGTCTTGGATGGGCCTTGGGAGGTGGTGGGCCACGGGCCTCACCCGCACTGCGGCCCCGGATCACTGGCCCTGGCAAAGGATCCAGGCTGGGGGGCAGGAAGATGGCCGAATCCGGCAGAGGTGGGGGTGGAAAGTCTGGAGGGGGCAGTGTGCCCCCAGACTCTTCATCTGATGAGCTTCCCTCTCCCACACGGGGAGGCCGGTGGCGCCCAAGCTGCGGAGCAGGCACTGTGATGGCCACTTTGTTCTTGGTGGCAGGTGGGACAGGGGCCCTGGCAGGCGAGGGTGGCTCCGGGGGCAGCAGCTGGTGTGGGACCCCTTCAAGGACGTAGTAAGCAGGGTTATTGAAGCTGTTCTTAGGTGAGGGCGCCACCACCCCTTCCAGCTCTGGAGCGCCCTCTGGCTTCAACCTGGGTTTGGGAGCAGAATAACTAAATCAGGACCCAGCAACCCAAAGGGAAGGCGGTGGGTGGGTGCAGTGGAAGGAGAACTGGACTGCGAGTCAGGAGACGTAAGCCCCTGGTCCTAGACTTGCACGTGACCTTGAGCACATCACTTTCCCTCTCTGTCCCTTGGGGTCCTCATCTCTAAAACTGGGGAGACGGGGGAGTTGAATGGATAACCCCTAAACTTCCTTGTCTTACTCGCTAAGATTCTGCAATCTTTTTTGATTTTGTAACGGTGAAAGCTGAGCGTAAATGGGTGAAAACAGAGGCCAGAAGGAAGGACAATAAAAGTCTTCAATGAGAATGACCAGCCAGATTCGGAAAGCCTCTGGAGGCATCTGAGGCCGATCTACTGGGGAATCTTACTCAGGGATTCAGGTTAGTTTTACTCAAGCCTAGAGATAAAACCAAGGTGACTGATAACAGCTGAAGATGACTGAAAACACACCAGCAGTTTTTATTTACGTTCAAGTAACAATTGGATATAATTAAAAAGCAAGCCTCACTTTCCCAAAGTATGATCCACAGAATACTACAGTTGACCATTGAACAACACGGGCTTGAACTGCACGGGTCCACTCATACGCAGATTTTTTTCAGTACTGCAGCACTACATGATCTACAAGCCACAATGGTTGAACCTGTGGATGTGGAACTGCAGATATGGAAGAACTGGGGATACAGAGGGATGACTCTAAGTTATACACCCCTAACCCCTGCCATGTTCAAGGGTCAACTGTAGTGCCCCAGGATATTAATAGTTATTGCATGGAAAAGTTTCCTGGCCCATTAAGTTTGGGAAACTATATTCAACAGAGTTGAAAAAGGATTTCCTTCCTGTCCACATGCTCAGAGCTTTTGCTGATACTATTGTGCACTGGGAATACCTAAGAAAAGAATCTAGCAACAACCATTTCCCAAACTCATTTGACAACAAACCAGTTACCAGCGGGGGCATCTTGTAGGACAGTGGTCCATAGAACATCCCTAGGGAAATCCGTGCTGAGATGAAGGCCTATCCCCAAATAGAAGGCTCAAGTTAAGTGTTTACACAGAGGGAGCTGTTGCAGAAACAATTTCTAATTCTATTTTTTAAGGCAGGATTGAGAGGAAAGGCTGACTGTGCTCCCTTTGACCAGAGAGCCACACCTTCAGGAGGCCTGGCTGGCCAGTGGCCACGAGCGTAGGGCCCTGGCACCTCCGGCCATGCGGCAGCAGAGCAGCCAAGCAGCAGGTGATCCCCAAGCTGGCCCTGAGAGCCACGCACAGCGATGGATAAAGTCAGGGGGTGACAGTTTCCTTCTCTCACCTGGGGGTCAAGGGCTCCTCCCGGGGAGCAGCTCGAGGTGGGGCTGGGGGCCTCCCAGTTGGTGGTGGTTTCTCTGGTTCTTCAAATAACTTGGAGAGTGGACAGGAGGCCTCTCCAGAGGCTGGCTTGCGGCTCCCTGACCTGCCAGGGGTGCACAGGGGAGGAGAGGTGAAGTAGGGGCTGACCAAGAGCCCCCGGGCACCCCTCACGTAGCACACCACACAGCCCCAGCTCACCTGGGCTCCTGGCTGCCTCGGGACACAGAGGGGGCTTTGCTCTTTGCTCCTGCCTCATCCTTATCAATGCTGATCCACTCTGGGGGAGGAAGGGAAAGGAGACTCAGAGGAGACTTGGGGTCCTGCATCCCACAGACACCCCAGTGGGCTGCTAGCCCCTTCCCAGCTACTCCTTAGGGCAGGCCCACCCCCAGACCTGGCTGCAGAACCGCCAAATGTTCCAGGGATTCCAACATGCCTTCCCTGCAGCCCCGGTCCTCCCCTCCTAGACCCGCCCACACCACCCCGTCTTATGCCCCACACCCCTCCCAATGGGGCCCCCACCATAGAGTCGCTCACGGGTGCCCAGGCGCTCTGTGGGCACCCGCACCTTCATGGAGCCACGGATGTTGCCTGTCTCTTCGCCGCGGTGGGACAGGAAGGTCAGGAACTGCTGGGCCGTGCTGCCAATCATGGACTTGAGCGCCACCACGCACTCCCCTGAAGGGCAGATGGAGCAGACCAGCAGACTGCCAAGCCTTTCTAGGGCCCTGCCCAGCTTTCTGTGCCCCTTGGCCCCCCTCGACCCTCACCATAGGATTCGTAGCCATCCATGGACTTGACTGTGAGCAGGAGGTGCTGGTCCTGCAGGTACTCGATGTCAGCCAGAATGGGCTTGAGCTGGGGCACAGAGAGGCCCAGTGAGGAACAAAGGCCCACCCACCCCCACGTGCCACACCGCCACTCACCCCACCCTCAAGCTCGTCCATGCTCACTCCCGTCCACTCTTAGGAAAGATCCTAATCCATAAGGTAGAAGACACAGTCCTGCATGGGCCTCTCAGAGCACTTAACAGCCCTGTAATTAATTAATTTTCTGCATCAGCAATGACCAACACAGGACCTGATGTTTAGCAAAGGCTCAAGAGCTATTCATTGAATGAATGAATGAACCAGCTGCAACTTGGCTCCCCCCACTCCCCCAAACAGAGCACGTGCCCTCATCCTCACTCACGCCCACCCCACACACAAGCCTGTGCTGCCGGCTCTGCCCGCCCTCCCAGGCAGGCTCCAGGTGGCGCTCTGCTGCACCTCCCTCTCTGTGTCCTCACCCACAAGCCTCACCGTGGGCAGCTGGCGTGAGGACCACTGCACCTTGAGGAAGTTGATGTTGTCACTGCTCTGGGCATCATTTTCGAAGCTCTTCTTGTACTCTGGGTGGGGGTGGGGGACACCCAACTGAGCGCCACCTCTCAGCTTCCCTTCTCTCTAACTAGAGGGCTGACCACTCTGGGCACCTCGGACCTCCCATACCCTGTGGCCCACACCCAGCCCTGGGTCCCGCCTCTGACCCTCCAGGCAGGTGGAGTAGAACTCAATGAAGAACTTGGTGCGGCTGGCTGTCTTCACAATGGCCTCGATGCTCTCAAACTCGATGTAGGCCTGGTCTGAGGTCTTTGAGAGCCCTGAGGGGCAAAGGGAGGAAT